CACACCAGGGGCACCTCTCTACCCACACACTAGGTGCACCTCTCTACCCACACACTAGGTGCACCTCTCTACCCACACACTAGGTGCACCTCTCTACCCACACACTAGGTGCACCTCTCTACCCACACACTAGGTGCACCTCTCTACCCACACACTAGGTGCACCTCTCTACCCACACACCAAGTGCACCTCTCTACCCACACACCAGGGGGACCTCTCTACCCACACACCAGGGACACCACTCTCCCCACATCGTACACTGACATATTAACTTAGAGACTTATTTTGACTCATTAATTTGGGATTTTTTCAAGGGTAGAATTCATACCAGATATAAAAGATTTATAACTCAGGTTGTAAGGTAACAAACTTGTATACATTAAAATCAAGGACGTGTTCTGTATAAATAAAATTGTACGTGAAGGATAAGGTAAAATAACGATAAGTCACTGTAATAAAAACCAGCATTGGGTCTTGAGCTTCGTCTTACACGTGTCCAGCAGGAGCAAGTGACACGGAGGACAGCACCTCCCCGACCAGCCTTAATATCAGCATCGTCTTCAGTGACTCCGTCTTCTCCCCACTGACCGGAGGAGCGGTAGTCAACAAAAGCTTGGGTGGCAACGGAGGAGCGAGGGATCCAAGCTTCACCTTGGCCGCCCTACGCCAGCCCGGCATTCACTTAGAGGAGGGCGAAGATATAGATTCCTTCATTGCAAACCTTACCATTCCTCCACCAGCTGAAGGAGGTGTGGTAAGCAATGTAGTGATTATGCATTCATTATAATGCTGCTGTTTTTATCCATTTTGATGACTATACAGTACATGGAACTCCAAGATATTCCCTTATTTACAAATAGAGAATTGTTCTGTATATACGATGCCGTTTACAGAACCTTCAGACGTGCGCGGAGAACCGTAAGATGGGGAACGAGTACGACATCTCTGCGTTTATTATCCCGCCGCCTCCTCCACCCTCGGACGAGAAGGACAACAGGTCGTTCGACATTATACGGAGCCAAAGAAGGAATCAGTAGGGTGAGTTGTTGTGAGGTTCATCTAATTTTCTACAATTAAATGCAATACTGTATTACTGTAAGTGTACTGTGGAAGTGTTTGTCTGAACTAAATGAATTTGTTTCTGTTCATAGATGTTATTGATTTACCGTACAGTGTAACATACATCATCGTGTAAGAAGATTACCGCACTGTAATAATTAGTTATGAGTTTATAATAAATACTGTACAGTTTTATACAACACAATACGGTACTTAGGAAAACAGGGAGGCCATTTAAAATCACATTTCCTGGTGGTATGTATGACTCTCAGGTTGTTTATCTCTTTAAGGAGGAGTATCACTCTAGGTGTTTTGTTATGGGTAATGTCAGACTGTTTTCAGGTTGGAGAAATGTGTTACTCAATGGGTTAAAATGGTTAAGTTTTATTGTGATTTCTCCTGTAGTAAAAGAATATTGTTAATTTATTAATTTATCATTCCACCACTTAAAAGTTTATTAGCTGCTGGGCCAGTTGGTCTGTTCTTTTTTAATTTGCTGTGAACACTAGTGTTAGGTGTTCGTACAGGAAGAAATCTATAATATTTGGGAGTGTCACTGGATAACACCCTTCTCATGTGTGTCTCAGCCAGGACTCAAACCCATGATACATTCATTACTGCCGTACCAGCAAATGTTTGTTTTTACCTAAAGTATTTGCTGTTAGTTCTTTCCTTCTGAAAGTATATCACAAACAGTGATGTAGGAGGTATTTACTTTAAGATATAATTTTTTAGTACAAAAATGAGCTAAATTGGTTTATCGTTACAGATGGTGTGCGAGGACAACAGCGACATGGAGGTCGGGGAGAAGGACCACGACATGGGCGAGGTGCACGTCAGCTCAGAGACGATGGCCAAGCGTGCCAACCTAGCGGGGAAGGTCGCATCTCTGCAGAGGCGCTTCGAAGTTCCTCCCAGGACTGCCTACGGTAGTCTGCCTACCTCAAGTGCCTCCGTAGACAATCGTCAGTTGCTACCGAGATCAAATAATTCTAATGTAGGACATGAACTGCATGCCAAATTGGCACAGGCATTAGAGGAAAATGATAAGATGTTCAAAGGTTTCGACACTCAACAAATGACGAGTGCCAAAAATACCGGCGGAAGTCGGGAGAGCGGCGACTCCAAGCATCCGTCGGTCACGGCCAGAGTACGAACCTTCAGCTCTGGGGGAAACTGGACCGCCTCTTCTCTTCAGCGCCAAAAGACCGTGCCAACCAGTAAGGCAGAGGGAAAATAGGAGGACTCTCCACCTCCCCCTCCTCCACGAACGCCCATCACACGAACCGGCACTCTGACTAACCCAAAGAAATCCAAGCCTTCTCGTCCCTCGTCAAAAATCCAGAGAAGTATATCTATGAGCACAGGTAACCTCTCCAAGTCTGCCTCTCAAGACGACATGACGAGTCACGCCAGTTACATCACCATCCTGAAGTCGAGCACCAAAGCCTCGGCCTCCAGCGAAGACGTCAGCCAAGCCAAAGCCTCCCCGGGGTCCCCCTCCAAACAAAGGGTAGCCTCCAGTAACGATTCTCTCGCGTCGTCCTCCAGTGAATTCCTCTACTGAAGAATTACTCTTAAAATTTTCAATAAATCTCTAAACATCATTAATGAACTACAGCTCAGCCAGTCTGGAGGTGAATATATTCTCTATTTTTGGGAATTGGAAAAAAAATTGATTTTATGTACTGATGTGTTTAATTCTTTATACGATCGGTAGCATGGATACAATATGAAAAAAAGACGAGGGTAGAGGGAGGTAAAGGTTTTATTATGAGAAGTTGGTAAATGTAACAGCTGAGAGGCAGAGTTATCCTGTTTAACGCTGAGAGAAATAAAGATTCAATGTGATAAAAGAAAACTTAAAAGAGAGGAAACGGTTAGATGGGATCTCTTTAGTAATCATATTGAAACTGTCTATTTACCTAGAATAATACAGAATAGGGATGTTATAAATCTTGGTTTTAATAGAATAACAAAAGTGTATTGATTATGTTTAATAAAGAATCAATAGAATGACAGAGGGAAGATTTTGAGATATAAGGTAGGAAAAGTGTACTAGTGGAAGAAGAGTTTGGAACCAGACTTGGAAGAGATTATGTGGGTCACTTTTTAAATTAAGGAGCATAAAACTTACATGTAAAATTATCTAATGAAATCGATAATGTTTTTATGATATTTAAGGACCCGGATAGAGTCGTTAGAAAAGCAATGTAGGAACGTTAGAAAATGTATTAGATAAATACTGATTGTTGTCTATAGGCAGTGTACTGTATGTGAGGGAGAGGTGAAGTTGTTGCTGATGAAAGTAAGATTATAGTAGGATATGTAGTGTCACCATGATTGATTGGTGTTTGCCACGATGGGATGATAATTGAGGTTGGTGCTGTTGATGTGGTTGGTTGAGTAAAGAAAGTTGAATATGTTAATAAGTTTGGTTGATTGAAGAAAATTGATGGTGCGTGCGTGCGTGCAATATGTATGAAGCATTATCTGTTAATTTTAGTAAATAAAATTTCTCTTCCTCAGGACAATGTGAAGGCAGGTATGCAGAACAAAGGCCTTCGTTCACCATCACCAGCGCGTAAGGAGTCCCTCGCCAGATAACTCAGAGCGGCCACCCTCGGTGCCTTCCAGACTTCGCAAGCCACAGCTCAGCCCAACTACTTCTCCTACGAATAATCTGCCAGGCACACACCGTCTGCGTCCTTCGGGCAAATTAATGGCTCCTTCCGGACCTACCGGCGTAAGGCTCCCGCGAGCAGTCCCACTTCTCCTCGAGGCAGGGCTGGATTCAGGAGTGGGCAAAGTGGGCAGCTGCCCAGGGGCCTCCACATCTTACAATATTTTATTTGGATTATTTTTGTTTTCATCCTTTAAAATTCATGTTTATCTAATCCATCACGTAAAACTATGTTCAGCAAGAAGCGTGATAGAAATTAGGCAGGCAACTCCTTGAAATTCATGAAAACCTGGTTTTCCTATGAACCGACTTGAAACCACATGAATGACTCCAGTCATGTCTCACTTTTGTGTGTGTGTTTGGAATTTGTACTCTATCAATAAATATACAGTTAATTAAAAATGTCTCAATGTTCTACTTTCCTCAGTGTAACTGCATATGGCTTCAAAATTCTCCTAAGAAATGCTCAAATTTCACAATTTTCCCGGGGGGCTTATAGCGCCCCCCCGGAACGCCCAGATGTTTAGGCTCGCTTCACTCGCCACCCCACCCTCTTGGGTAGTTATAATGAGGGGGCCCTCCACAAAGAGGCTGGCTGCCCATGGGCCTCCACAGGTCTAAATCCAGCACTGCCTCGAGAGGGTACTCGCTCCCCCCAAAAGACTCCCAGAATCACTCGTAAGGCAGCCAGCCGATGCTGACGAACCTAAGCCTCGGCTCCCCGCCAAGAATAGTCAGTCGCCGGCTCGGAGAGTTCCGGCATCGCCGCCGGCCACCGCCAACGGCATCAAAAGTCCCGTGCGAACCGCCGACAAAAATTCCACTGCTTCGAGACTGCCCGGACTGGATAATTCCAGCGTGGCTCTTAAAAACCGCCTGAACCAAGAAGTCGCCAAAACTCTCTCCCAAAAACAAGACGGTCAACGGCACGGATCCGGACGATTCCCCGGACTCTGGTAGCTTCGATCAAGATTCGTTAGAAGAAGCAGAAGTGATGCCTCCGGCGTCTAGAGATGCCTTCCGCCGTTTTACGGGAGCGGTCGGTCAGTCCCCGACGGAGATGGTAGCGACCTGTGCAGAAGCTGAGCGTTTCAGCGGCACCGCCACTCAAGACGAGGCAAAGTTCCAGGAGGCCAGAGAGGCTCTCACCAGTGAATAGAGACGGTTCGTAACGGCCTCGAAGTTATTCGTCAAGTCGGCCACAGAATCCGAAGACACGTTATTGCAGTGTCTGTCGACGTGTATGAAGCTGATGCAGCGCATGGTGGACGTGACCCAGCAGGTGGTGCGGCACACTACCACGCCTCTCCACGTGGTAGTGAAGGTGAGGGACGTGGCCACCACCTACCACTCCACCGTCCGGGCGGCGCTGGATGGACCATCCTTCCATGAACACCCTCATGACTCAGGCCACCAACCTGGCCGGCGTACTCACCTCTCGCTCAGTGTGTTCAGCCCGTGAGATCCCCGACGCTCCGACGTCGCAGAATCGTGTGCATTATCGTATTATTAAGATCGCTCTCCCAGTAAAGAGTTGCAAAAATCGCCTTTGACAGTGCAATGAATGGAAACTTACAAAAGAGTACTTAATGTATTTACACGTTTGTAGATATAGAAATAAACCCGATACGCATAATGTCAATCACCGTAGCCCGACCAGCTTCTGTAAATAACGATAGAAATCTCAGGCATTATGAACAGTCAGTCCGGAGGAGAGTGAGAGCACCGGCTCCAGAGTCGAGTGTCCGGGACGAAGCTGGGACAGTCTGAGGGTGACGTAACAGAGCTGTATATTTCAGTACATTGATATAATTGTGTATAACAATGCCTAAGTTACCCCCAGTCTCGCATTTGACTATAAATTTCCAAGTGTGTTTGTTTCTCAAATGTACTTAATATAGCAGCTTTTTCAGTTACTTTTTTTTTATTATTCCAAGTTTATTGGCACTACTTGCAATTGTTCTCCAGATTTTTTATTTGTTGTACAATATAATTGCAACTTATGGTTTGCTTCCACTTTCCATTAATTTGTTCTTTGTCTTGTACAGTTTGAGGCCCTCTACCCCTCTCGGTGTATATAACTTCTATACAGCAACAAAACTTGTCACATGTCAGCCCCAGTTAGGAGTTGTAATTCAGTTTATCTGCTGTATTTTCTGCTAAATAGTGTCATAGTATATCCCGTCTGTATCCCCTTGTGCATGTAGATAACTAAGGGTACCGGGGTATACACTGTAGGGAGATATATCTACTGTAGCTGTGAGGACTATTAGTGAAGGGTTAAACAATCAACGGTTTCTTGTATAGGAATGTTGTAATATAATGTGAATGACAGTACAGTAATGGAGGTTGGGAGTACGTTACTGTAGTGGTAGTACTGTAATAAGTACAGTAGTAATTATGGTGACGAGTACTAGCAGTGGTGGAGGGTGTAGTAGTACAGCTATACTTAAGGTAACAAGTTATGTAAATCTACCACCCAAGACGAGTGAGCTCAGACGTGGTGGCCAATGGAGTTCCTAAACATATGAAGTAGGAGTGGATTGTTCCAGAAACGCTGCTGCCTACAGATTCAGGGTAGGAGCTACCAGTACAAGGGCCTCGAGGTTGTGAAGGAGAAGCTACTTCGAGTGGTTGGGGGAAATGTAGGCGTTAGTATTGTGCTGGAGACATTCCTCAGTAGCCAGACCAGGAGAACTACTGACCTCACCCAGAACATGTACCGTGTTGAGCTAGGTTATACAAGCATTATATAAACTCAATTTTCCTCGTTTATCCTCCCATTTCGGGTCATTGTGGTAGCAGGAATCTGGCCTCAAATACAGAATTGTTCTTCCCTCGGGTATTCACCAAGTGGGTCTTCCACCATAATTACTGGCCACTGAACTACCACCTTTCTATTTATACCGATTATGAATTGGCAAGGGAAAAATGGAATTAAAATGGACGATAAAGCACAAGGGGTTCAAAGACAAGAATTGATGGAGCATTTACATTAACAAGTATAGAGTCGGTTGTATCATGACCACACAGCATCTTATATGTATTCAACAGTAAATTCGGCCACCTAAACTGCCAGGTTTCAAGGAGGTATGGGACCAGGTGGACTCCTGTGCAGGTTTGAGAAAGTGGCTGTGGACACCAGGTGCAGTAAGGATACACGCCTACTATCCTCACTGGTAAGGTATATTAATTTCTATATTGCTTCCCTGGCAGATAATCAATGATCAGTTAAAAAAACCTTTGCTCTAGGCTCGAGATTCCATTCGTACATTCATTCAGGTGGGAAGCTTCAGATGGATGAAAGTTTAGAGTTCACACATTGCTCGATTGAAGTTACCAAGTAAATGTATTGTGCTAGATGGTCTGGTGGCGTCTTGAAGCCGAATTAAGGCTCATCTAGCAAGAACAATAGTAGTTTCCGATCTTATGTGAACCTAAATTTTTTAAGCTGCTAAATTGTATACAAGTTAGAGAAATGTCGAGTCTAGTCTTAAATTGGTCTAAAACTCCCCAGAACACCGTTATTAAAGGAACTAAAAAACGGAATTTTAAAATTTAAAATCAAGTTTATTGTAGAAATATGTCGATCATATCTACAGTTAAATAAATACAGCAGTTCCCGCTCCTATAATTCTTCCCCACTCTAGCCGGGTTCGTCCTTAACTGCCCACATAACGAAGGTAGGTAGGTCACTGTGCCGTGGGTGAAGCTGGATTGGTCCACTTTCAACTAGAACGAAACTCAAATTCATCCCCTCACTAAACCATTTCCAGTAGTTATTCCACGTAGTTCTCGGATATCTGGAACAAGCAAGTAATCAGAGATTAAATATAGAAGTATACTTTGTATCAAACTCAATCACACAGAAATAATTCACTAAATACATTAATATATAACCAAGTTATATCAAATATAAATAGTTAATCAACAAAACTCATTTTTAACCAACAAGAAAATTGTACTCAAGAAAAATAACACCAGCATTTGAAGAATGAAGAGATGTATATCCATGGATCCAGTAGTATTACTTCCTTTGAGGTTATGATCAGTACTGACCTCCCGTCACAGCTTTCAGAGTATTTAAGGACGGCAGTGGTGGGGGGGGGGGGTGATACATGTGAATTAGGCGGGAAAATCTTAACTGGGCTAACCACCTCTTAACTGGGCTAACCACCTCATCACAAGTGTTTAAGACATTTCATTTCTCGATAATTGTTCCATAAAACTTCACTATGTCGTGATTATTTATCGCCTTTCTATTGCTAGTTTAATATTTTTCTATTTATAACTTGTTAATTTTTCACTATAGAGATTAATGAATGTGGTTTACCGGGAGTTAAACGGGCGTAACAACCATTAGCGGCTTTACTGTGGTGGTGTCTGTTTCTGGCCGCCCATAGAAAGTCGTAGAATTCGTCATGCTATATTTATCAAAACTTCAAAAACCAGATCACAATTGACTTTGATGTGAAAGATTATGAATAAAAGAAATACAGCGCATATTAAAGTTGGAAGTTTCTCTACATTTGTCACTTCCACATAAATACACATCTGAATCTGTAGATAATGGTCACTCATAATAAGCTCATTTAAAAATGAAAAGTCTTTAAGCTTGGTAATAAAATAAACTAATTCAATAAATGTCTGGCTGGGTTCCTTCTATACATTCCTAAATCTACTATAGAATTCATTGGCCTCTTTAACAGTGTAAGCAACTGCCTATAGCCATTCAAGCAAACCATAAAGTCTCAAAAGCCTTATTGGACAACATCGTGACAAGTATTGCTAACAATAAAAATGGTTCAACGTCACACTGATTCTAAATAATAAAAGTTTCACCCTTTAAGTAAACCAGCAGTACTTAAGTATTCCAGGCAGTATATAAGTACCACCAACATATAGGCTTTACTAACGTACAGTATTGTTAATGAATGTGGTGAGAATACTTCAAAGTTTGTATATATATAGTGCCCCAAGAACGAAGGCACATTTTCTTTCTTGTTAAATTACTGAAATATTTATGTTTTTCAGTTATTTCACATCAAAAATCATTTTATTTTTATGGACTCTATTACATGCTAACATAGTTTTATGTAAATGGTAATAAATGATAATTCAAATAGCTGTTTTATATATTCAACGTAAAAAGGTAATAAGATACGGAATGATATGGAGGTGAGCGCCATCTATGAGTTAACAGCACTACTAAACCTTCATCACGGGGTACAGGGGGAGAGTTTCTCGTCTGGTGGTTCTTGGATCCATCACCAGCTGGAGCCACAAGACAGAGGAAGAAGGTGGAGGACGGACTAAGTGTACCACGATCTGACAGCCCCGAAAATATCGGCCTGAGGCATCGGTAAGACATTTATTCATAATATTATACCAGATATTTAACATTAATAATACTAAGAAGTTATTGGAGAGTTATTATGGTTAGACAGAGTGTATTTAATGGTTAATTTAGTTAATTGTGCTGGGTCGTCTGGTGAAGTACTGTATTGGTATATTGTTGCCACTATATAACATCAAAGTTGAAAGTATGTTTTTCCGGTGGTTTTTGATGTAATGAACGAATTTGACCTTCATTTGTGGCGCAAATCAATAGTTTTGAGATAAGCCCCTGGTGAATTAATATAAGTGGACAACCATGGAGTTGTTGATCAATGTGTTGTTCCGATGGTTTAGGAAAATATTCGTCCATTGGCTGTCCTCGGGTTTTGTATGAGTGTTTTTTTTTAGATTTTTCAGTGTTTTACTCAAATGTGCCCTTTTTTTTGTAAAGTAACGTTTTGCCAAAAAATAACATTTTCAATTTTAACAAACTGCTAATTTTGCCAATAAAATAGAGCTCAAATTTGAATAAAACACCAAAGTACACCAAAAACTAATTCTCATACCAAAGAACCTACCTAACCTAACCTACGAGGAGGAGACGAGTTAGGAGTATAACCTCGGGTAAACGCGGTGGGAACCTGCGGACAGCCAATGGACCAATATTAACCCACTTTTCTTCAATGACGTTTCCCTCACAAATGACTTAAATATAGCAGGGAGATTAGGTAATTTTAAGTAATTTCTGAGCAAAACGTCGTAGAAGAAACGTGTTTTAACATTGTCTAAACTATTGGAAAAACACATTGTTCAACAAAAAGTCAATGGTTGTCCACTTGTAAAAATTTACCACCCTGCCCCTCAGAAACTAGAGCTATAAGAATCGAGGTAAAAAGTGTCCAAAACGCACCAAAACCCATCGGAAAAAGTTTTGGATTTAACCTAACCTAACCAAACCTAAGCTAACGTGGGTGTGTACCGCCATGAACAGACATACATAATGAACTGTTAAATATCTCGCTTGAACGTATTTTGTTCCAGAAATGTTATTGAAGAAAAGTGTCTTAGAATTGTCAAACTTACCGATTGCAATTATAAAATCCCCGAGATTCGTTTAGCGACAAGTGAAATGGCAAAAATAGGTTTTCCCTAGTGTATTATGTTTTTCGAGCAATTCTAACCTTCATTTCTGGTATAAATGAGCCGTTATGGAGATATGACCTCAGTTACCGGGACGAGTTTGATTTTGTTCATTTTTTCCAGATGATGATGTTATTATAGTATTTTAAGAGGCGACATTTGCTAGAAGCTATACTGTACTGTATAATCTGATGTAATATAACCAACCAAAACGACCTACCTAACCTTACCTAACTTCCTAGCCAGGGCGTGGAATTGCCATATTAAACAAAGTACTTATTTTGATATCTGGTACCAATGAAAGCAACTTTATAGAAGCGTCACGGTGTAATTTGTATTTTTGTGGATGCAAGAGTGCGCTCGGACTCGGCGAGTCGGCTATAAACAAACGCGACGCGGCGAATCGGCCAATTTTTTGGAGGAGTGTTTACGGTAAATGTAATTATTCGCCACAGAGCACGGAGAGACATCGTTTTAGTGTCGCGTGCTCGGTTTTTCAGTGTTTTCCCCCCATTTCCTCCAACCTTCATTCCTTGCCCATTACAGGTGATTTAAGATCATATAAATAATTAATGAAAAAGTGTTTTTAATTAAAATAAAAAGTTGTCGCCTCTTTTAAAATATTATAATAAGAACACCTATGGAAAATATGAACCAAATCGGAAAAACTCTTGCTGGTGGTAGTGGTGTTCTGAGAAAAAAAGAAAAAACCTAACCTAACCTTTCCTATCCCTTAACACTTCAAATAATATATTAAGGTTACTTTATTTAACTGATGATAAATTAAAAAGTTATTTCATTAATGTTTTGTCAGTGTGTCATTAGCATTTATAGGTCACTAGGGAAGCTGGAATACGTTTAAGAAACTAATTTGCAATCCCAATAGATTTGAACTGTCCTCTGATTGGTCACAGCAGATTATGTGAAATTCAAACGAAAGGAATTTAGGTATTAAATTGGGCAAAAGTTTTTGCCCGCTAGTGCAATAAGAATCCGTCAATATTGTCGTAACTTCGTCTTATTTTGGTCACGTCCACAAAATGTAACCGCGATGCGTCGCGTAAGAAACCGGGTGTGCCAATTCATTTTTTGTGCGTCCGTCACAAAAGGTTAGATAGGGTTTTCAATTTTGTTTAACCTTTCATGTTGAAAGTGTAATTCAGTTTGGAAGAATGATTGTTGTTGTTGTTTCTAGTGTTAAAGGAAATAAAGGTCACACGTTTCTATTAGAAAAAGCAAAACAAAATAAAAACACGGAAAATTGCAGTTTCGGCGAAGCGCCGAGGTCAGACTCATTCTAAACACATCAAAAACTATTGGAAAAACCTAATTTCAACCTAACCTAACCGATTTGAGAAATCAGTTTCTCTATGTGGTATTAAACAAACAAGTGCCTTTGTTATAAGTGTACGAAGTTGTTATTTGACCAAATAAACCGTCGGCTATTTGACCGGGACCTGCGAGGATCGTACGCATACGATTTTAATGGGATTGTAGTCGGGATGATTGTGGGCATTAAACAAGTCATTACACTGTGGTATTATTTAATTGTAGAAGTTTCTGTGGGCAAAAGTATTGTTTTATTTTAGATCTCGGTCAAATAATCAGTGGTTATTGTGCCGAGTACCGGTCAAATAACCCCTGCCTATAATACAATAGTTTTACAGTGTTGTGTATTATAGTATAGCTATTGGTCACATTTCCAGGAAGCTTCAAGGAACAACAACACATCTCCATGGCAAGCTCAGACTCGACCGTACAGACCCGTCCGGTCTCGTCTACGACTCCGTTAACTGAGAAACGCCGCCGACCCGCGGGAGGTGAGACCGACGTCGTCACTTCACGTCGCGTAGTCGGGTGTACAAGTCGAGTGCATTAGAGTACTTGTATTTAAGTGCACTTGTACAGTAATCCTATAAAAGTGGGCATTTACTTAAATGTTTGTGTCTAAAGTCACGTCCCATTGGTGTCGGTGGTACGCGACACCTCAAAACTGTGGCCCAGATTCACGTTTTCCATCCCATACCCAATTTTGAATGTGTGTTTATTTTGTTTTTCTTTAAAGTACAGTATAGTATAATATATTAATAACTTTTAGCTTCGTTTTTAAAACCTAATTTCATTGTTATTAATTATGATACTCTACAAATACTGTGCTACTTTTTCTACTTGTATGATTCAGTTGAGCTAATTAAACTTTTATTTGCATAATGTTGAAGAAGACTACAGTACATAGTTCAAATTTTTACATATCAACAGTGCAGTACTTTATCTTAAGTAATATTTTCAGGCACTTTCCCCATCAATGCCTAAAGTGGACCTGAACCTTTGGACCTGATGTGAACTAGAATGAAGCTGGCTGGACCTCAAGTACTCTGTGGTATTGTATTTAATATTGTTGTAGTACTTTGAATGTTAGGAAAGTTCTACAGGCATTCCCCAGTTTATAAGAGTATTATGCATTAAAAACCTATATTAAATCGAATCAATATTCCTATAGACGCGCATTACAAAAGCCCAGATACTTTTCTACAATGAAAAAAAGTTCCCCCCAAATTATGTACGGTCCCCCAAAAAGTATCGATAGATTTTCTTGCGGTAAAATTTGAAACTCTAGATGAATACATTGATGTGATCTCCATTGCGTCAGCATAAGTTGTTACGCCCGCTCACTGTATCGGCAACAGCTATGGACGGCGGGTAGCGAGGGAGTCATCCTCGTGTGACATACAACTGTATATGCTTTACTATAACAAGAAATTCATTAAGCTATATTAATGTATGTATCGTGCTGGGTAGAAACAAGGCCTCAACCGAGGATTACAATAATATCAAAATATACGTTAAATGGAAGAGTCTTGGAACGTCGCAATCGAGACGGACCTCGAGGCGGACATTTCACCACCGTGTCGTAGTAACGGTTTCATTCGTACCGAGTTGCAGAATATACAGTAGTCGTCGACGACACGTCTGATTTATGAGAGGTGACCAAGGAAATGTTACTTGATATTAGAGTGAACAGCTACAGCAATATACAATATATCGGTCTAATTGGGCTCTGCCAAATATTATTGATACGTAAATGGTATCGGTTTAATGTCACAATAAGAATTTAAATCGGCGCGTCGCTGGTCGTTTTGTGGCTGGCGGCTGAGCCATCGCGATACAGCGGGTTCGCTCTCCCCATTGCGTCTTTCCGATAATTCCTCGGTTCGTTTGACGTAAGATCCCATTAATGACCGGCACGGCATCGGCGTCCATTTACGACACGCAATCTCAATTCGCGTAACGTGCGATCGGAAGCCTCGGAGGATTTGCATCTTTCAAAAACATATGTATACTCATTCGTGCTCAGAGGTGTAGACGTAGAGTTAGCAACAGTTCTGAAACGGGTCGTGTAACATTGGTCGAATAGCCTCGAATCACGTCGACCCCGTGGCTAAAGATATTATTTTGGGGTGAGCGTACACGTCGATTATAAGCCAATACAGGAGCTTCTCGACAGACGGACGAGTCGAGTTCCCGAGGCTCGTTCGCGAGTCCGACTTAACTCTTGTAGATAATGATATACAGTAGAGCTATACCGTATATACCCAGCACATTACGGTACAGTCGGTCCCCGACTTATGACGGGGTTAGGGACCGGGTCGCGAGTCGAAAATAATACCGTACATAGAAAATCTAAAACGAGTGTCTCTCTCTCTTCTCGGCACCACAAGAACTCTCACTCTTCCGCTTGCCAGCTATTTTAAAGGGAATTACAAACAAAAATTTTGTCGGTACACAGCGCAATCACTAACGTCTGGACTCGAAAATAGGTAATTTGACAAAATTTTGGTACGACCGAGGCGGTCGTAGGTCGAGTAGGTCGTAAGTCGAGGAGTAGCTGTATTTAACTAATGATAACAGAAAAAGTTATTTCTTTAATGTTTTGTTTTTGTGTTTTAATGTTTTGTCAGTGGGTCAGTTCTCGTCTTCAACATTTAGGTCACGAGGGAAGCTTAAACATATCCAGAAAAAAAAGTTTTTGCTCCTGCGTAAATATCACAATAGATTTGCACTGTCCTCTGTTTGGTCACAGCAGATTATGTGAAATTCGAGCGAGAGAAATTTAAATAATAAATCCCGCAAAATTGTGCGTTTCTCCCGGAAGCACGATAAGAATCCGTCAACATCGTCGCAGTTTCGTTCTACGTCGGTCACGTCCACGAAGTGTAAACGCTATTGGACTGTACGAAACCGGGTATGCCGATTAAATTTTTGCTCGTCCATCGCAAGAAGTTAGGTAGTTTAGTTTAGGTTAGGTAGGGTTTTCAATGTTTTTTTTTAACCCTTCATGTTGAAAGTAACTTTTTTTGGAAGATTCATTGTTTTTGTTACTGTAAGGAAATTAAGATCATATAAATTTATGAGAAAAAATCCAAATAAATACTGGTAAAATTATCGTTTTGGCCGTGCATCTATTTTCCAAAAGTCATAATCGTTCAAAATATCCATAAAAACCGTTGGAAAAAGATAATTTCAACTTTACGTAACCTATTTGAGTAATCGGTTTCTCCATGTGGTGTTAAACTGATAAGTAATGTTTATTTTTAATACAAAGTTGTTATTTGACCCGGATTCTGGGCCAAATAACCGTCGGCTATTTGACCGGGACCTGTGGGGATCGTATGGGATCTTAATGGGAATGTAGTCGGGATGGTTGGGGGCATTAAACAAGTCATTACATTATGGTATTATTTAATTGTATAATTTCTGTTGACAAAAGGATTTAGTTTAATTTTAGATCTCTGTCAAATAACCGGCGGTTATTGTGCCGAGTACCGGTCAAATAATCCCTGCCTATAATATAATAGTTTTACAGTGTTGTGTATTATATAGCTATTGGTCACATTTCCAGGAAGCTTCAAGGACCAACAACACATCTCGGTATGACAAGTTGAGACTCGACCGTACAGACCCGTCCGGTCTCGCATACGACGCCGTTAACGGCAAACGGAGAAACGACGCCGCTGACCCGCGGGAGGTAAGACCGACGTCGTTACTTAGCGTCGTGTCGTCGGGCGTACGAGCCGAGCGTATTAGAGGACTTGTATTTAAGTGCACTTGTACAGTAATCCTATAAAAGTGGACATTTATGTAAATGTTTGTGTCTAAAGTCACTTCCCATTGGTGTCGGTGGTACGGGACCTATCAAAACTGTGGCCCAGATTCACGTTTTCCATCCCATACCAAATTTTGAATGTGTGTTTATTTAGTTTTTCTTTAAAGTACAATACTGTATAATATATTAATAACTTTAAGCTTCGTTTTGAAAACATAATGCCATTGTTTTTTAATTATGATTCTTTACAAATGCTGTACTACTTTTTATACCTTTTTCTGCTTGTATGTTTCAATTCAGTTAATGAAACTTTTATTTGCATAGTTTTGAAGAAGACTACAGTACTTAGTACATAGTTTAAATGTTTGCATATCAACAGTGCAGTACTTTATCTTAAGTAATATTTTCAGGTACTTTCTCCATCACTGCCAAAAGTGGACCTGAAATTTTGGACCTGATGTGAACTAGAATGAAGTTGGCTGGATATAAAGTTAACTGGACCTGCAGCGAAGTGGACCTGAAGCTAACTGGACCTCAAGTAGTCTGTGGTATTGTATTTAATATTGTTGTGGTACTTTGAATGTTAGGAAAGTTGTACAGGCATTCCCCAGTTTGTAAGAGTACTGTGTCTTATAAAAACCTATGGTAAATCGAATCAATATTCCTATAGACTCACATTATAAAAGCCAAGATACTTTTCTTCAATGAAAAAAGTTTCCCCCCAATTATGTAGTCTCCAAAAAGTATCGATAGATTTTCTAGCGGTAAAATTTGAAACGCTGGGTGAAAGACTTTGATGTGATCTCCAGTGCATCAGCATAAATTGGTACAGGTACATCCGGTCACTATATGAGCAACAGCCATAGACGGCGGGTAGCGAGAGAGGGAGTCATCCTCGCGTGACATACAACCGTACAGTATATGCTTTACTATAACAAGAAATCCATTAAGCTATATTAATGTATGTATCGTGCTGGGTAGAAGCAAGGCATATGTAAAGAAGCCCCTGACTGAGGATTACAATAACATGGAAATATACTTTAAATGGAAGAGTTTCGGATCACAACCGAGACGGACCTCGAGGCGAACATTTCACCGTGTCGTAGTGACGGTTTCATTCGTACCGAGTTGCAGAATATAGTCGTCGACGACACGTATGATTTATGAGAGGTGATCAAGGAAATAGTAGTTGATATTAGAGTGAACAGCTACAGCGATATACAGTATATCGGTCTAATTGGGATCTGCCAAATATTATTGATTCGTAAATAGTGTCGGTTTAACGTCACAATAAGAATTTAAATCGGCGCGTCGCCGGTCGTTTCGTGGCGGCTGAACCATCGCGATACCGCGGGTTCGCTCGCCCCGTTGCGTCTTTCCGATAATTCCTCGGTTCGTTTGACGTAAGATCCCATTAATGACCGGCACGGCGTCGGCGTCCATTTACGACACGCAATCTCAATTCGCTTGACGTGCGATCGGAAGCCTCGGAGGATTCGCATCTCTCAAAAACATACGTGTGCTCATTCGTGCTCAGAGGTGTAGACGTAGAGTTAGCAACAGTTCTGAAACGGGTCGTGTAACATTGGCCGAATAGCCTTGAAGCACGTCGACCCCGTGGCTAAAGATATTATTTTGGGGTGACCGTACTCGTCGATTATAAGCCAATACCGTATAGGAGCTCTTCGACCGACAGACGAGTCGAGCTCCCGAGGCTCGTTCGCGAGTCCGACTTAACTCTTGTAGATAATGATATACAGTAGAGCTATACCGTATATACCCAGCACATTACGGTACAGTCGGTCCCCGACTTATGACGGGGTTAGGGACCGGGTCGCGAGTCGAAAATGGGAAAATAATACTGTACATAGATGGGCGTCTCATTTTCTTCTCGGCACCACGAAACTCTCACTCTTACGCTTGCCGGCCATTTTAAAGGGAATTACAAATTAAAATGTTGTCGGTACACAGCGCAATCACTAATGTCTGCATTCAAAAATACATAATTTGACAAAATTTTGGTACGACCGAGGCGGTCGTATGTCGATTGATTGATTGATACGTTTATTGAGATACAAAAAAACATTAATACATCTCAAAGGGATGAAGTGACATAAGTCATCCTCACCCCAGTCCAGGAATGTCCCTCTCAGGACTCACATAAATCCCTAATATTTCATATAATTAGTTATATTACATAGTTATATTCTAGATGCAAAATTTCTATATTTCTTTAATATTTCATCTATTTCCCATTTCCAAACATCCACTCTATTTGCTTGGGGACATTATTTATATGGGCATTTCTATATACATTAAGCAATGGGCATTCCAGTATATAATGTGGCAGGGTATGGGATCTGGGTGTTCTACAAACTCTACATTCTTTATCCTGTTCACTTCTCTCAGCTCCAAGTTCCCAATAATATTTATATCCTAATCTTAACCTCATATACACTGAATCTTTCCACCTACTCCTATCTTTCCCATATGTAAATTTTGTGTTCATGAGAACATGATGGTAATGTTTTATTGTTTCACTTTTCTCGTATATTTCATTCCTTTTGAAATTATCTTCTATTGATTGTATTTTCTGTAATTTGCTCCTTAATTGCTTCAAGGTTTTAGTACATATTATGTCGATCTCGGCCTTTTCCGTGGCTCTTTTTGCTATTATATCTACTGCTTCATTAAGACCAATCCCCACATGTGAAGGGACCCATACAAATTGAACATTATGGCCATTTTTCCTTATTGTATTTACTAATTTTCTACATGAACCAATAATGTGTCCAAAGACTGGACTCCCACTGTTCAAAGAATCCAAAGCTGCCCTACTATCAACAAAAAAATATGCATCTTTATACCTCTTTACAACATTTTCCAATCCTACTAACATTGCATATAACTCAGCTTGTGTTGATGAAATAAAACTTCTCAACCAAAGTCCAATTTTGATGTCATCATTTCCTTGTTCTGTGTACTGTCTTATAAGGATCCCGCACCCTGCCCTGCCACTTGACATAACTGAACCGTCACAAAAAACATGCAATGTGTTTATTTTAGGCAAATTACTAATCTTATTCCCATATAAAGCCCTTAACTGTCCTGGTTCATGTAATGATTTCTTCATTGTGAGAGGCACTATGTCTAACTCTACTTCTCGTTCTTCCCTGGGTGGATTCTTACAACTCTTCTGAACAGCTGTACACCAGTCTGCCAAATTACATTTTTTAATAATATTTACTAATCCATTCATGTATCCTCTCTTGCCTTGCCTGCAGAAGGTCCTTTTATCTTTTAAACCATCATTTATATCTTGTACAAATTTACTCCCACTTTTCCCTCTCATTAATCGAACTGCTGCAACTGTATTAATTTCATTGACCCTCTGTGAAATGCTCTGTAACCCTAGTTCCATTTTCATTATCTCAATCATTGCATTCTTTTGACACCCTAAAATAATTCTCATTGCTTCATTTTGCATGATCTCAAGCTTCCGTAGCCTTCCTTCACCAGTACAAGAGAGGACAGGTGCTGCATAGTCTATAAGTGATCTGATGGTAGAAATACACATCATTCTCAGTATGGGTACCCCAGCACCTTTACCACAACATGCTAGAGCCTTCAAGGGCTGTAATCTTGCTCTACATTGAGTGAGGACATGATATATTTCTGCCTCTTTACTTTCACTAGTAAAGCCAATATACATTCCTAAATATTTATACTTTGACACTTTCTCAACAATTTTTCCATTTAGAAAAACGGATTCAGTTCCTCTTCCTTTACATTCACACTTGGTTTTTTCTTCATTGATAACTAAGCCCATCTTTTGAGAAAGAACACTAAAATCATTTAATGCAATCTGCAAATTTTTTACAGAGTTTCCTTGAAATAAGATGTCATCTGCATAAATGATGGTTACAACTCCTTTGGGATATTTGTGTGAGGCTATCTTGTTCATTAACACATTAAATAACATTGGACTCAATACTCCCCCTTGGGGAGTGCCTAGTTCAAGTGCTCTTTCCTCAGACAAACATCCCTGATACCATACACAGATTCTCCTTCCATGCAAGTAGTCACCTATCCAGTGTAACAACTTTCCTGATACCCCTAGAGCAGCCAGTTCATTCATAACTACTTCACTGTGAGCTTTATCAAATGCTCCTTGTAAATCCACAAAAACTCTACATCTGTCTGCATCATTTGATAAACATTTTATAACACAGTCTGAAGTACATTTCCCTTCCAAAAAACCAAATAAATTACAAGATAGATTTTCCCCCACAATATATACAAGCCTATTTAATAATACTCTCTCCATCATCTTGGAAAAACAAGATGTTAAAGACACTGGCCTGTATCCACCAGTTGCCTTAGGGAAAGGAATAACTATCGCTTTCTTCCATTCTGTTGGTAATCTACCCTCTGCATAGCTCATGTTGAATAAATCTAATAATGGACTATTTTCCATACCAACTAAGCAGTTCAAAATTTCATATGTCACACCATCTTCGCCTGGTGCTGTAGATTTTCCTTTTTTAACAGCATCTTGAGTAATATCTACACATGTTACATCACAAATATTTAGAGCTGATGAAATAAATCTTTTTCTTTCATTTTGCCACTCATCTAATGCTTCTATTGTCCTGTTAGGCAGGGAGGCAACACTAGCAGCTTTAGCCCATTTGTCAACCAGTTTATTAGCTTCTTCCTCTGGATGAGGATGGCTAATAAAATTACTCCTTTTTCCTCTAATTTTGTTAATATCCTGCCATATTTCTTTGAGATTTTTACTCTCCCCAATGTGCTGTGCAAAATCTTGCCAATATTTCTCCCTTGCCTCCTTCCTAGCCTGCCCACATATTTTGGCTATATCCATGAAGATTTCCCTATCTTCTTCTCTTCTACCATTCTTTACCCAATCTTTATGTGCTGCCCTTAACATTTGTGTCCATCCCTTCAACATTTTGTCATTGGTATAGCAGTGTTTCCTAGCCCCATGTCTCTTATCATTTATTTTTTTCTGTGTTGACTTAGTCAAATATATTTCTATCTCCCCAACTAAGTCATTATAAAAGCTATCCATACAGACTGGTGTATAATTTCTGTACCATTTCTCTATATTTTGGGTAAACACTTCTGTGTCATCCTTGTTTAGTTTCAATTTCTTCCTCCTATATCTCACCTGTCTCTTCCCTAATGGTAATTGAACATACACAACAAAATGGTCACTGACTAGCTCCCTTATTATCTCACATTCTCCCTGGACTCCCTGACTGCTTATCATGCAAGCATAGTCTAACCTTCCTCCTTTAATATGAGTCACTTCCTTATTTCCTAACAAGTAAGAATCTGGGTGATCTTGTAAAAATTGCCAAAATTTTATACCATTTCTATTAATTCTCCCCATTGTTTCGAGTCTTGGATGTCGAGCATTAAAATCTCTTACAGCCAAAGTTGAGTCCAAAAACATGCAATCTGGTAAGAAGTTGAGGTCAAAACAGCATCCAGAAATATACAAATTTGCTATGTTCAGTTCTCCTTCCTTCAAATATAACTTTATACAGACACTTTCTATTCCTTGTACTCTACTCGGGTTTCCAACTAGTTCTGCTGGTATGGAATTCTTAATGTATGTTGAGACCCCTCTTATACCTTTACCCGAATAGAGATGAAATCCCTTATATCCAGACAGTTTAAGCAGGTCGCCTTTCCTGTCCCTGTAACGGGCCGCGTTTTCTCTTTTCAATAATTTACCATCCAGCTACTGTTTTCTGTTAGTATTCTATTTACTCATATACTTATTTGTTCTATGTAGCATTCCTCCAATGAGTACCCTGTTTAATATACTTATTCTCCTTCCATTCTTTACATATATATATTTATTCTTATATGTTCTTTACCTCTATATACCTTATATTCTTATATGTTCTTATATAAGTAACTCTTATGCTTCTCCACTTATGTTTTCCAAGTCAAGGTTCTTTCTTTTCATTTCCTTTCATATAGATTGTATTTTCAGTTTCAATGTTCTTACCTTTCTGAAGTATACTTTGTTTTATGTCTTTCTTATACATGGGTTAGTCTGGGGAACCATGTGATTCTTTGTATAACACTTTTTATACTTACAAGGGGTAGCTGCCACCACCCAGACTTTTCATTATATAACAGAACTCATGGAAGGGTTTTGGGTAGTGTGGTAGATGTATAGGCACGTGAGTAAGTATTATTTTCTGGGAACCAATGTTTAGAAGGAGTAGAGTGGTGATACTCAGATTACTAACTCAATATTTATTAATACAGTGAGTGGAGAAGATGCATCTTAGATTCACTCAGGCTAAACAGAACCGAAATTAACTTATTAAGTCATCAAACACTTCAAGAACTTATTACCTCATTAAACACCTCCAAATATTCATTACTTTATTGGATACTGTTGTAGTATTTCTGTGACAAGTAAGATTTAGCAATGCTTACACACTGTCAATAACCCTGGACCCGCAGGTCTTACTTTAACAAGGAACAAATTACCTTCTCAATTCGTGGTTAGAACCTCATACTCTCAGGTTATTCTTTCATGGGTACTACAGATGAATACATAACACATTGGACTAACTCCACAATTATAGTAACATACAATACCTCCTGTTAGTTTGCAAGGAACAACCTGGTACCTTGAACTCTCATTCAGTGGTTCAATACTTAACCTGGGATGACTATATTTCTGCTAGTCATCCCTAAGCATGGATATTAATACGGCTCCATACATATAACCAAGAACAGTGGGTAGACTATGATCATATGACGGAGTCAGTAGGCCAGAGTTGTTTACAGGCTCGCTCGCTAGCTCGGAGCGCCTGGCCCAGGAAAAGTTGACTGTGGCGGTGGGCCGTGGCGTCTGCCAAGGAATCTCGCCCTGGGATTCTCATCTCGCCACCTTAAAGACGTCTTAAGGCTAGCTAGATCCAGGATTAATATTTACACATTTTATATCCTTTCCAATCAGATTCTTTAAGAAGGCCCAATCCTCCTGCACAGATTCCCATTTCCTCAAAAGTTTTTCTTTATCAGCATCTTTACACTTTACCAACACCTTTTTAAAACTTTCAGTTGTTGCTCCCTGCGCTACACAATCCTTTATTTTCCTCTCCTTCCCTGTAATACTTATTTTAAGCACTGAATTTTTCAAAGGCTTGAGCTCTTCACTTTCCTCTTTCCCTTTTAATTCTACATTATTCACAGCTTTGTTTTCCCTTTTTTTATTTATCACTGTATCAAGTCTTTTCTCTATCACTTCTATTTTCTGACCTAACTTTTGCAAAAGCTGAAACATCTTAAGCACCTCTTCTCCCAGAATTTCTTGCACAGTTTTATCACTAACCTGGAGGGCTGCACCACTACTCTCACTTGCTACTTGTTTATTACTCTGTTTGTTTCTGGCATCAACAACGCTTCCGGCCGCAAGCGCAGTCCTTATCCTTCTTGAATCTTCATGCCAGGCATTCTCAGGAATCACTGTCTGTGTGTTCTCCTGCTGTCTTGTCACTGTCAGACCACAGCGTACTTCCTCGGTGTTCTCTGAATAATTCCTTTGTTGGTCACTTCTCATACGTGGCCTCATCTCGCATGCAATTGAACTAGCATTGAGAGTTTTACCACACTTACAACAACAACAAGGCTTCACTTTCTCTCCTGCTTTGATCTTGTCCTTACAGTTGCTAGATTCGTGCCTCTTCCCACAGAATCTACAACGTGGGTCCAGTTGACAGCTCCAGGCCTTATGTCCCCATCTGCAACACTTGAGACACATTATTGGTCCCCCCACATATAGTGCCACCTTCCTATACCCTGCTCCTGTGATGAACACTTTCTCTGGAACCTTTCCTCTCATTAGAGCAATAACCTGGCTTCTCTCTTCGCCCCTTATTAAATGCCTCTTGACCCAAACAAATCTTTCGTCATCCAATAAGTATTCTGGGTCTAGTATTACAGGGTACCTGAAGATTATAACCTTTGTAAGTAGTATGTCGCTCTCCTCTGGCCAAACCATCAGTAATCCCTTGTACCCAACAGTTGTCAACATTTCCACAGCCTGTAAGATAAGGCTTGTGTGTGCCTTCTTTCAAAAGAGGCTCAAAGCTGCGATGCTCCCGTCCTAGTTGTACTGCCCATTTTAATTTTTCAAGGAAGGTCATCGGGCATGACTGGAAAAATTAATCTCTTCCTGACACGACCAACTTCACCTTGTGTGTGTTCTTGTCTGCTTCCTTCAAATTCCATACTTTGCTCTGTTCTTGATCCATTCTCCACTATCTCCTTTCTGTTATTTCCATTATTATTACCACCCACACACGTTTTTTGTCCTAGATGATTTTGTCTCTTCTCCTCTCTCACTTCTTTGCTTTCACTGTCCTCATGCCAGCTTGTCTCCCTCATTGTTTTAGAATTTTCTTTCTTATTCACTACCTCTTGTTGTAGCTGTATTTTCTCACTTTCGAACTTCCCTTGTGCTTCATCACTCGTATTAGACTCATCACTACTCAACTCAAGGTCTTCAAGAACTTCGTCTAATACTATCTTTTCTTTACTCTTCCATGTAGAGTTCTTAAGCGAAAATTCACTTTCCGTGGGGCAATGTTGACATCCCACAACACCCAGCCAGGAGTGATGGGACCCCGAGCAGTTATTTTTGTAAGGTAAACAGTAAGTTCCCAACACTAAAGTTGCTTGACGATACTTATCTTATCCTCGGGTCCTTATACACAAGTAGGTAAGTCTATATATCCTTCAGTTAATGTAATAAGCTCGAAAACATCCCAAATTTGGGAGCTAGCGCTCACAGCTGTGTTTACCGGACCAAAAAAATGGCCGCTCCGTCGTATGTCGAGTAGGTCGTAAGTCGAGGAGTAGCTGTATTTAACTAATGATAACAGAAAAAGTTATTTCTTTAATGTTTTGTTTTTGTGTTTTAATGTTTTGTCTGTGAGTCGGTTCTCGTCTTCAACGTTTAGGTCACGAAGGAGGCTTAAATATATCTAGAAAAAAGTTTTTGCTCCTGTGTAAATATCATAATAAATTTGCACTGTCCTCTGATTGGTCACAGCAGAGAGATTTAAATAATAAATCCCGCAAAATTGTGCCTCTCTCCCGGCAGCACGATAAGAATCCGTCGAGATCGTCGCAGTTTCGTTCTACGTCGGTCGCGTCCACGAAATGTAAACACTATTGGACGCGTACGAAACCGGGTATGCCGATTCGGTTTTTGTTGGTCCATCGCAAGAAGTTAGGTAGTTTAGATTAGGTTAGGTAGGGTTTTCAATGTTGTTTTTTTAACCCTTCATGTTGAAAGTCTAACTCACTTTGGAAGATTCATTGTTTTTGTTAGTGTAAGGAAATTAAGATCATATTTATTTATTAGAAAAAATCCAAATAAAAACTTGTAAAACTATCGTTTTGGCCGTGCAGCTATTTTCCGAAGGTCATAAAAGTTGAAAATACATCAAAAACCATTGGAACAAGATTATTTCAACCTAACCTAACCTATTTGAGTAATCAGTTTCTCCACGTGGTACTAAACAAACAAGTGCCTTTATTATAAGTGTACGAAGATGTTATTTGACCACGATTCTGGGCCAAATAACCGTCGGCCATGTGACCGGGACCTGCGGGGATCGTATAGGATTGTAGTCGGGATGGTTGGGGGCATTAAACAAGTCATTACATTATGGTATTATTTAATTGTATAATTTCTGTTGACAAAAGGATTTAGTTTTATTTTAGATCTCTGTCAAATAAGCGGCGGTTATTGTGCCGAGTACCGGTCAAATAATCCCTGCCTATAATATAATAGTTTTACAGTGTTGTGTATTATATAGCTATTGGTCACATTTCCAGGAAGCGTCAAGGACCAACAACACATCTCGGTACGACAAGTCGAGACTCGACCGTACAGACCCGTCCGGTCTCGCACACGACGCCGTTAACGGCAAACGGAGAAACGCCGCTGGGAGGTAATACCGACGTCGTCACTTCACGTCGTGTCATTGGGCGTACGAGCCGAGTGTATTAGAGTACAGGTTGTACCTCTCTAGTCCGGCATTCTGTGATCCGGAACGATTTTAGTTTGTCCAATAGGTAGATAGGCAGCTTCTTTTTTTTTTTTAATCTTGATTATTATTATTATTATTATTATTATTATTATTATTACAGGAGTATTAAATTTTTGCCCCTCAGGCCCCAATGTGGGTCAGTGACCTATGCCCGGGTGGGCTAATCCCCGTAAAAAAACAACGACGACAAAGCCGGGGGAAATTAAGGTTTGTTTACATCCGGCAGCTCTCTCTCTGTGCTTGTCTATACAGAGCATAACATTTAACCCTTCAATATATATTCTAGCAGTAAATAAGTGTTGCTTTCATATTCTTAAGTAGAGTAACGACGACATGTTTTCACGTTTGCGCACTTACATACGCTCAGTTTCACTTTTTTTTTTACCATTGATGGTTAGCTACTTATATTGTTCCATTTATTAACATTAAATAACATTACTTCAAACAAGCATATTAATTTTTTTACATTAATTTTACTACAGCTACAATCAGGGTCTTATTTTCTTCAGTTTTATATGTAGAACCAATCTGTCACCGGTTTTGTAAGCTTTAACAAAAACAATGCCGGCAGCCGTCTCGTCTCGTCGCGCGTTTTAATATTACACTTATTAGTAATAAATTGTATTGTTAATTTTGCACACACAAACATTAATTCAATAAAAACAAATTCAGAAACATTAATTAAAATATATATGAACAGTAAATAAGTGTTGCTTTCACATTCTTACGTAAAGTAATGACGATACGTTTTCACGCGTGCGCACTCGCATACGCGATCTCTGTTTTTCTTTACCATTATCGTTAGCTACTTCTATTGTTCCATGTATTAACATTACTTAAAAGAACCATATTAATTTTTCTACAGCTACAACCGGGGTCTTATTTTCTTCAGTTTTATACGTAGAACCAGTCGGTCACCGTTTTTGTAATCGACGAAAACGGTGCCGTCTCATTTCCTCGCGTTTTAATATTGAGCGTATTATTAATGAATTGTATTGCTCATTTTGCACACACTAATATTAATTCAATCCAAAAGACTTTCAGTAATAAATAATAACGAATCTTTCGTACATAAGAGAAATAACGCCGTTTACACGATCGTGCACGTCGTCCGAACGTCGGCGGGCCATTCAAACCCGTCGAAATTTGAGTTTCCGCCGTCAAAAGTTTTAAATGTGTCGGCTTTTTTTGTGCGTTCAAATAGAAAACGTCGAATTAAAAACTCGCGAAATTTGAGAAGGTACTGTACGACATTTAACCCTTCAATATGTCTTCAAAGAGACCACGAAGCAGAGAAAGTGGTGCTAGTGCTTCCAAGTGTAAACAGAAGTCACTATCTGTCCAGGAAGAGGGCGAATTTCCACGGTCGGGAAATTTCCGGCGTCCGGCACCGGTCGGGTCCCGTGGTTGCCGGACCGGAGAGGTACAACCTGTACTTGTATTTCAGTACACTTGTACAGTAATCCTATAAAAGTGGGCATTTATGTAAATGTTTGTGCGTAAAGTCGCGTCCCATTGGCGTCGGCGGTACGCGACACTTCCAAAATATGGCCCAGATTCACGTTTTTCATCCCATACCCAATTTTGAATGTGTGTTTATTTCGTGGTTCTTTAAAGTACAGTACAGTATATTAATAACTTTAAGTTTCGTTTTCAAAACATAATGTCATTGTTTATTAATTATGATACTCTATAAATGCTGTGGTACTCTAAATACTTTTTTCTACTTATATGAATCAGTTGAGTTGAGTAAACTTTTATTTGCATAGTTTTGAAGAAGACTACAGGACATAGTTTAAATTTTTACATATCAACAGTGCAGTACTTTATCTTAAGTAATATTTTGAGGCACTTTCTCCAACACTGCCTACAGTGGACCTGATGTGAACTAGAATGAAGTTGGCTGGACATAAAGTTTACTGGACCTCAAGTAGTCTGTGGTATTGTATTTAATATTGTTGTGGTACTTTGAATGTTAGGAAAGTTGTACAGGCATTCCCCAGTTTATAAGAGTACTGTGTCTTATAAAAACCTATGGTAAATCGAATCAATATTCCTATAGACTCACATTATAAAAGCCAAGATACTTTTCTACAACGAAAACAGTTCCCCCCAAATTATGTACGGTCCCCCAAAAAGTATCGATTGAATTTTCTAGCGGTAAAATTTGAAACTCTAG